CTCTAGGAAATGCCTGCACGTCTGCTTACCCACAAAACACTCAAAGAGCCAATCATTGCGATCTAGGAAATCAGCTGAGCGAATGACGAGGCGGAACATCCGTTTAGACCTAAAAATGAAGACTGCGCTGTAGCATTACGCAATGCAAAGCGTCATGCTTGTATTGCGTAATGCCACAGCGCAGACTTCATTTTAAGGTCTAAACAGATGTTCCACCTCATCATTCGCTGAGCTGATTTCGTAGATCGCAGAGATTGGCTCTTCAATTGTTTTGCGGGTAAGTACACGCGCAGGCATTTCTTAGAGGGCGGGCAGGACCAATCGTAAACCCTGTTTTGGGTCTCAACCAAACTTTCTGGATTTTTTCTGTTTATATGTATAGTCATGGCCACTGACACGTTTAAATTTGGAAAGCTTCTACGGGCTAAATCCAGTGTAAATGGTGCTTCCAATGAGGTTGAGATGTTCTGGCTATGTTAAACGAGTATGAAACAACGCTAAATAATAAAAGACCGCGAACGACGTGCTCCCCTGCTGAGCTGTAGGGCTGCCGACATGTCGAAAATAATTTATTTGCGAAATAAAAGTTTCTGAAACCATTCTTTGGAAGTTAATAAACATAAACATACCATAAAAAGCTTTCTTTTGTTTATTTTAGTTTTCAGACCTTTAATGTCCATTTTTGGGTCTTAACATGTGCTTGCATTGCTTAATGTCACTACTCGACTGCGTTTTTTGGTCTAAATACCCTGAGAGCCAATCACCGCAGCTTACGGAAGGAGAGCTCAGCGAATGACGAAACATATGTTTAGACCAAGAAACGCAATATGCATTGTAATATTAAGCAATCCAAAACGACACGCTTACAACTCGGACTGCGTTTCTTGGTCTAAACGCATGTCTGGCATCGTCATTCCCTGAGCTCCCTCTCTACGTTGCGGCGAATGGCTTTCAGAGTGCAGACTGTATTCAGCTGATTTTTGATTTCGTTATGAGGCCTCTACCAAACGGTAGTGGCCTTCCAAAAATTGGCCTATAGGCTCATTGGAGTGCCCCTCCCCACGGTAATCTTTAGTAAAAGGCGAAAGATTAAGTCGTCATAATGAGGAGAGGCCTGAGCGTTAATTTCCAATACGTCGGAAAAGAAGGACCCACTCGACACGTGCGACCTGTACTTCGCAGTGATGCGGTGGCAAATGTACACTATATTGCTTTTATTTAATATATAAAGTCACCATGTAACTAACACCTGCATTTTATTCGGAGCTTGGAGACTATCTCTTAAAAGGAATATAATATTGCACAACACTACTTCTTTCTATTCGGCTTTTACTTAAAACGCGAAGAAATGAAGCCATGTCTAGGTTATCATCATCATCGTCGGGGCTTCGCGCACGGCTTCGCCGCTTCGTTCGGCTGGGGAATTTTCCTGGTCGAAAAATCCCCACGTCGCCAGAATGTCCCCGTTTGTCCCTACCCTAGTACCCTAGTAAATACGTTGCCTGGTATGCGAAATGTATATGTCTGTATGATTCATTCGATTATGATTTATTTTTACGGAGTTTTCTATTTCCGGCTTATTAGGCCAAATTTGCACTATTGCATTGCACGAGCCCGGCCAACCCTAAAATTCGGGCCCGATCGTATACACATTGGGCTCGGGACCAGGCAAGCATGATGTCTATGGGGCAAGCCCGGCCCGAGACCGACCCCGAGATTTTTTCCTTCAACTAAATGCTTAGTTTTTTTTTTTTTTTTTTTTTTTTTAATTATGTTTGTTTTATAACATATTGCAAGCTACAAGACGTGTAAAACGCTTCGACAATATTTTAGGTGCACTCAGCAATGGCAACACCGAACTACGGACGATGGGCATGGTTAAATACGTCATAAAATCTAAAAAGCAAAGTCCCCCCCCCCCCCCCCCACCCCCTCCCTTCTCCCGTACTCCAGTCATGAATATCCTAGGAAGAAAAATGTCTGGCTACGGCCACTGGTGGGTTCCTTCTCCTCTTTGGTGAAACGAGATATCATTCCCCGTTCTACCTGGTTATCGTCGGGGCGTGGCAAGAAAGGTGCTCAGTAACTTAGCCAATCGTGGACGATGGCACAAATCTGTCACAAAATCAAAATTCGCTCCTACAAACCTACAACGCCACAAAAAAAAAAAAAAAAGAACGTTACGAGTGGGTTTATTAGTAGAAACATGCCCCGGATACATCGGGGCCCTCGTTCGGGAAATCAGGTCATCAGTCAGCTGAGCTGATAAGCTTCCGCCCCCATTCACCCGAGCATCTTTCATTCTTTCCCTCTTACAACTTTCTCTCTCTTGCGATTCTAGGGGGGGGAGGGGGAGGGGGGGTGTAGGCTCTGCTTCCGCCGTGCGTGTTCGTACGAGGAGCAGGCCGCGCCTCATTAAAAACCTCAAAGTGTCGCGGGTTTCACTCTTACTCAGAAACGTTCTGCAGTCGTGCGAAGCGTTTCTTTCCTTTCTAATAACTTGGGTGGGATGTGATATCAGTAAAATAAGTGATTCAAACGAGCTAGCTTCTTGCATCGGCTTTACGATGTCGACAAGAACGAGAGATTCCATATATCATAAACCCCTATTCAGATAGATTGATCGAATGATTTTAGGTGAAGTCCTCGAAGGGGAGATTTACCTAAGAATAAATTGACTTCCGCCCGTGGTAACGTCCCCTAAAACTCGTTATATCAAAACATTAGCGACTGACTAACCTCACCCTTGCGGTGGTTATAATCGAGACTTCGTTATCACTAATCTTGTCTGAAGGCACCTCAGACTGGACAAAGCGCCACGTCATTTGCGAAATAAAGCACTGCAGTAGCAATGCGCAATAAATACGCGATAAAAGAGTGACTGGCCGGCTCCTCGCCTCATTTGTATCACTGTGTACTGAAGATGCCATGTGTATGGGCGGCGAAACGTCCACATTTTTATTGGTGTATTCTTTAGGGTGGAACGAACGTTAGCGCGATAATTGGAGGAATGGAGTCCTTGTTCGATGGTGCCTCAAAGCGACTGCCTCGACAGGGCGAAGGGACGACTGGGTTCTCGCTGGGAAGTTCGACTTGGTACACGCCCGAGGCCTCGTCGACCAGTTCCGGGGTCCAGCCGGCTGTTGTGAGCCTGGACGACCCCGTCGTCGGAAACTGGAGGAAGAAGAGCAACATCGTCCTTAGGAGGTCGGGAAAACATATTCTTCAAAGGGAGAAAAAAAAAAAAAGAATAAACGGAATTAAAATAAACTGGCAGGCTAGTTATTTAACAAAGGCGGAGGAAAAAAAACACCGCAAAATACAAAGGTAGAAGTACACAGCGCTTGTCCTGCGTACTTCTACTAACCGGTCCTACGTACTCTGTTTTTTACTGTTACTTGGGCTTGTCCTGTGTACTTCTCCTATTCATTGTGCTGGTACAAAAGGATCTACTGTGTACTTCTACTATTACGTGTCTTTTGCACTGTGTTTTTGTTTTCCCTTCAATGGGGAAAACAAAACAAGGTGAGAAGTGTAATATATATATATTTTTTAGATACACCTTTATTATCATACGGCGTAGATAGCGTGTTCAAACCCATTGTGTTATGTCCTTGTTCTCATCTCGACAGCTAATATATTCTTCGAGAGCTTAACAAACGCCGGGCTTGGGGCGATCCCGAGCATCTAATGGTCGCCCCACAACCAATGAGATGGAGGCATTAGCCAGTGAAAGTGCCGAAGAGCCTATAAGCCACGCCCTGAATTTCTGAAGTTTCCAGCGACTAGAGTCTTAAGAACATGCATAATCAAAGTGTAGAGTTGGATAAAATTACTTACCTAGCGTGTTTTTCGTTTGTGCACGTGTTCTATTCCTTGGTTAGGAAAATCGATATTGCGTCCAAATGTGCTCGTGGCCAGGAACAGAGTTTTTCGAAGCGTAATTATGGTCTATAATGTTCCTTTGGAATACAAGTTTAGGAACCTCAGAAGCTCGCTTTGTTCCCAAAACCTCAGGTCGAACACAGCATTGTCCAAGTGTCTTCGGGAGTTGCCTCGCGCGTCGCAGCTGAAGCATCAGGATTCTGTGATCGTCGTGTTTGGAGGAATGAATCCCGATGAGCCTCTTAGGGAAGATCTAGGTAAGTCGGTCTTATTATTATTATTATTTTTTTTTTTACATGTTAGATTTCAGTTTTAGAGTTCCGGTCCCTGATTGTATAACGAAAAGACCCGCAATAACAATATAAGTTTCATTAAAAAAAAATCTTATACTTTGTCTAAGTATAAAGTTAGCTGCAATACTGACAACCACGAAATCTATATATGACCCACTTATCAGAGGCCAGAAATGCGCCACCTGCTCTTGCGCTCCGCAATGTCACGTGACACAGCCTATATTCTGTTGCAGGTTAAAAAAAAGCGAAACATACTCGTATTAAAGGCACCGAAAAGCAGAGACAGAGTCAGGAGTGGGGACGACACAAGGCGCCTTATGTAGTCGTCAGTCCTTCCTCTATATCTCTGTTTTTTCGGCGATTTCAGTACGTAATGGAACCCAACACACCATTTTGTTGCAGGACCCGCTCCCCTCGCGAAGCGCCTACACTCTTTCCACTTTGCAAGAGCGACGAGGGGCGAACATGAAATTGCCTGCCTCCTTTTCGGCGCTCGCACTCCTAAAGTGTAAAGAGTGGAGGGCTCCGCTGGAGGAACACGTAAACAAACGGTCGCCGCTTTTTTAAAAAATAATATCAAGACGTTGTTTTCAAAACTTTTAGTGTGGTGGGGGAAGTGCTCATTTGGACCACCAACCAAAGTGGTAAAATTTGATGCCTGCCAATGCCCTTGGAAAACGTAAAAAGAAAAAAAAACTCGCACGTCGTTTCGCTTTTTTTACTTTGTGTGTGTGTGTGTGGGGGGGGGGGGGGGGGTTGTTTGTCTTTGATGAAAACGGGCGAGCTTGCTAAGCACCTGCGTTTTGCATACCTATAGGTTCCGCGGTGTTTCGCTACCTGCCCGAAGAAGAGACGTGGGAACTTTGCGGCCACATGCCTCAGGCCAAGAGTTACCACGCATCCGTCGCCGTCGAAGACAGCGTGTACATCATAGGTGAGTGAACCGGCGAATCGTTGGCCTACAAACATTCAAAAAGGGATGCGACACGACATGTTTTCATGATGTGCGAAAATTGGCCGGCGGAGCCATGCAATGTCCTGAGGTGGGGCGGAGTTTGTCGTCTCACGGCTTTAATGAAACCTTCCACCATCTTTCGACTGTTCGTTTTGTGTTTTGCTGTAGGTGACATTGCATGAGAATGGGTCACAGAGAAAACGCGAAGCGAGGATTTTTTTTTCTTTTTTTGTAGCTGTGGAATTTGGAAACCGTCCTACATTTTACGGTTTGCACCGAAGGGCTGCAGTGAAGCATGCGAAGTTGACCGTTAGTCTCCTGTAAGTTGCGGGGGCCTCTACAAACGATATGGTAAACGGGGGTCATATTAGATGTGCACAAAAGCAACTTGATTAAAACGTATGTGTAACGCGGCATGTTCCGCAGGAAACAAAACCGATCAACAACGTGGTTCCGATTATTCTCCTCAAGAATCAATAGTGCCCTAAAACATTAGCCTTTTTTTTTACACTAAATTGACATAACTGCTTACAACATTTTTTTTTCCCCTCTGTTGAGATTGTTACTCAACCAAACCTGAATGGGGAAAATCCTAACATTTCTGATCACAAGCAATTATGATTGTGTTTTCACCAACGCCAGGGCTATGGCAAGGGGTATCAGACCACCCTTCAAAATCGGCGGAGGGTCCGAGACCCCCCCTACCGAGACCGTTAGGTACGTCAACTCTCTCGTAGGTGGATACACGTTGGAGTCGACGTTTGACGCTGAGCCCTTGGCTAGCGCGTCCTGTTTCCGACTCGACGTCCTCGCGATGTCCTGGGAAACTGTGGCACCGCTGAACCGGGCCAGGGCTTGTCACGTGGCTGTTGCAGCGCTGGGACGCATCTACGTGGCCGGCGGCAAAGACAAGAAAGGCAGGTGGGTCACCGCCACTAAAAGTCAGCAATCTAAAAATGCGTAAAATCTCGCTTTCCTAATAAATAAATAAATAAATGACGGCGACATGTTTTTGTTTAGGCCATTTCTGCACGTCATCATATTTGTGTAACTTTGACACAAACGAAAGTGACGAGCACAAATTTCGAAAGCACTAAGCCAAAAATGATTCGTGAATTTGCGATCCATCCTTTGGGCCTTTTAGCTGATGCGTTCCGAAGAGGAAAGGTTCGAGGTCGGCTATGATTCGCTGTTGCTGTTTATGAAACGATTTTTTTTTTCTTCCGAAGACGTCCGTCTTTTGGCCAGAACTGGTCGTCATGGTATACCCTTTTGTCCCGTCAGGATCACGGACTCGGTGGAAAGCTACGACGTGTCCACCGGACGCTGGGAGCAGCTCCCGAATCTCCCGCGTCCCCTGATGGCCTCCGCGGCTGCCCACTTCCAGGGGTCCTTCTGGGTCCTGGGAGGGGTGACGCGCTCCAAGAACACCGACTGCAGGGTCACGGACGCTGTCTACCAGTTTGACTTCACTGACGGCAGGTATACGTTTTTTGCGGAACTGGTTGAGTGCGACCGCAGCCGACGATCCGATGGTCAGAATCAAGCACCGCTAAAAAAAACATCGTCACGGCGATCACGATCTTTGTTTTTCTGGGTTTAATACGCACACAAAAAAAAAAGAAAAAAAAACGCAAGATTACAATGCACTCTCATATAAAAAAAAATGTTCATTTCAAATGTAAAAAAAAAAAAAAAAAAAATAGCCGTGAAGGTTACAATTATGCGGTTTTGTGCAAGTGAGTTATGCGACCCGGGGGGGGCGGGGGGGGGGGGGGGCGGGCATAATATAGGGGTGCTAATCGTCAGGAGAAGTTGCATAAGAAACTAAAACTTCTTGATTAACTGTTTAACTATAGTGAAAATAGACACGTAGTTCCAAAAAAAGCAAAAAAAAAAAAAAAAAAACGTGCTGAGCGTTATTTAAAACCACAAAAATCGGTAATTTCTGGAAACATTTTGAGAGCTGGTGGGAAGCAAAGTATAGTGCTGTAATGTTAGCGCTCGTGCAACGGGCACGATTCGGGGCGAGAAAACGCGAACGATAAGGAACGAAAAAACCGCACGGGCGCGTTCTCGCAGCGGAAGCCTCGCTCCTGCAGCTGCACGAGTAAGTAACCTTAGCGTTTCACCATGATTCCCACCTGGTCTAAATATTTCTGATATTAACCGATTCAGTGGTGTTCAATGACGTTTAGCAAGTTTCTAATTAGAAACATGCCAATCATTATAATGTTAATCAACATATTTTAGTTCATTAGCCGAATGATCGTTACGATTGCCCCCCTACAGGCGGTTATTGCGGCAGCTGTACATGGGCACTGCCATAACCGATCTTCAGTTTTCGTTTCTTTTTGTTCGCTTCAATTCATGAATATATGTTAATGGATATACCCTTTGTAACGGGCGGTAGCTTGCGCCACCTAGCCTAAGCCTAAGCCTCAGTCTCATCCGTACCACAAGAGAAGAGGTTGTTGGCCTTCTTAGTTCTACCGTGTCCTCCTCTCCAGCATAGGCCTTTGCAGAGGATCGTCAATGCCGACTTCAGTGGCTCGGCATCCCGGTAAGACAAGAGAAGGTCAGCAATGGCGGCTGTATACATGGCGGACGCAGTGTCTATATTATGTCCCCCTGGCCGTATAACTTACCTGTGTTGGTGTAGCCTTCCACGACTTTTTTTAAAAAAACAAACCTATTAAGCTTAAAAAGAAGCACCCTGTTTATGCTCCTGCCAAGCACAGCGATCTTGATTGGATTGTATGAAGTAGGGTTTTGCGAATATTCAACATTTCGAATAGTAGTTCCGAATAATACACTATTCGATATTCGCTTCGAGAAGAACTGCACTATTCGTGTTTTTCGATTCGAAGTGTTGATTGCGGCGGCTTAGCCCCGTTGAGTGCGCTTCTTACCGAGCACGAGTGCACTGCGGAGAAGCAATACCCGCGGAAGCGAGCTCCGCGGATGTTGTTTCTCCGCATTACATCGGTGCTCGGTAAGAAGCGCACTCAACGGAGTAACCCGCCGCGATGAACACATGGAAAAGTATGAATATTGCAATAGGCCGATCTCACCAGCCAGTTTGAATACGCCACCGCTGCCGCAATGCATCGAGGGAACTTCAGTCATTCTACAAGTGCGACAACCCCGTGAAAATCTGCGCGTGTTTAGCACGAGACGGCACGAGCTCTCGCATTCGCAGCCGTCTGCCTCACGCATGCGCCGAACGCTTAGTGAGATCGGTCTATTGCGTACTTGAAAAATAAAAACAAACAAAAAACATACATTCAAGGCGGGACGGTGCACGTGTTCCGGCTGTATATGAAAATAAATGGAAACTTTGTGAATGTGTATGTACTGTAAAACCCTTTATCTTTGCGGCCCCTATTTTCCGCGAATCGGTCACAGAGGACATAATCGCGGCCACTAAATTTCGCAAATTCTAGAGACCTGCATTGGAATTCTTGAGGACCAACAATTTCGCGTGCCTGCAAATTTCGCAAATTTTTCAATTCGCGATATTCGGGAAAATTAAGGGCTCGCGAACATTAAGTGATTTACAGTATCTACATCATAGTAAAAGTTCCAAGATTAAACTGACTGTTTTGCAAGAGTATATGTTAGGCAGATGTTTCCTTATAACCTGCGTTCATCATGCGCGATTCATTTATTTTTAACTTAAAATTAAAGAAAAAATATTTAAGATTTGTAAATTCAGTCAATTGGGTATAGTTAGCCATTTCTATTGGATTCATTTTATGTCAAACCCGTCGTTTACTTACCATCCCAAAACATAAGGCCTTATGAGGTCACAGTTCATAAATACAGGTAGATTAAACTTGGCTTATAAATGAACAAGAGGAATAACCTTCACAAGTTTAGCTGTGGTTTCGTCTAAGCATTATGCTATATGGTAGTGAAAGGCGTCGAAAAACTATTCGATATTCGATTCGACAATATTCGACCAAAACCACTATTCGCTTCGAATTCGCTTCGAACTCAAAATCCACTATTCGCACAAGACTAGACTAGGAAGGTGGGACGCACACCACGCTAAAAAGATGTCCCTGAGCTGACATTCCTGCAGAACGAGGAAGCGCGGCGAACAAAAATGTCTTTCACAGGGACGATGCGCGCACGACACTTGCTTGTCGTCTGTGTGCTCATGGCATTTTTTTTAGATTTAATCGTGTCCCGTAATTCGCACCTTCCATAATTGCCCCTGATCGGTTTTCCCCGTGTCTACAAGGAAAATTAACTAACGCGTTTTATAGGCCGAATTCCACGAGAAAACCGTCACCAAGGGCTGTGACATCCTGTAACACCATGATGTATGACGTCACATGACGCCGATGCGCCACGTGACATCATCGAGTCGCTTGACACCATGATGTGATATGACGGTGCCACGTCACATGATGCCCTGACGCCACGTGACGCTGCGAGGTCACAGTCATGTGACCTCAACGTCACCTGACGTCTCTCCCCCTCACACACACACACACATACACATATAGGTCATTCACAACAGATTCTGTTATCTCCGGTGTTTGTCAGCATGTTCAAGAATCTGAACTCTGAGACACAGAGAAGAGATTAGGATGTTTCCCAAGGAGCTCGCCTGCATATATAGTTTCGCTTTTCCCGAAAGCGAAGGCAACATTTGAGGGGGTTTCCTTCAGGTGGTTTCACTCGGTCGATCTGTGGACGCCCGTGGCGTATTCGCTGGCCTTCACGACGGAGTCCGGCGGCCGGCTGTGGCTCTGGGGGGGCGTGACCGAGGACGGCCGCTCCCTGGGCGAGCTGCGCTGCTGGAGCCCCGAGCACCGGGCCTGGAAGCACTGCTGCCGGCTCAACCCGCCCAGGCACGGCTTCTGCGGAGCCATCGTAGGTATGCGCAAACTTCCCCGTTGGTTCGTTTCGCGACTTGAAAGCGGGACATTGCATTTTATGGATTTCAGTGGAGAGCCGCTGTATCGTAGTAGCAGCAGTAGCCGTAGTAGTAGTAGTAGTAGTATATTTTTTAAGGAATGCGGATACGGCAGAACGCGTTGTACAATTTTTCCCCGTCTACGTTCTGAGTTATTCAAACTGCCATCATTAATTCATTTAGTCAATAAATCCAGCGAGCCAGATTTCACGCAGCAAGCGCGGTAAGGGTGAAGCTGCCCGGACTTCAGAAAGAACCAGAGTTCACGTTATTATCCGCCCACGAATGCAGCTGTGCTGTTTTAATCTGAGATAGAAGACGACATTCAAACTGAACCTGTTCGATAGTTTCTTTAGCGACGTTGCGTGTACCAGCTAATAGAAAAATAAAAAATAAATAAAGGAGCGTTAATACGCGTATAGACAAGACATTCTGATGATCGCCTTCCTGCGTACTTCCATCTTTCTCTCTAACTTGACTGTGAAATCCGTTCTGAGCATGGACACTCGGTCTCTTTTGAAGACAGTCGCGGACTCTGCGCATCCGCCCACAGCCCTGTGACGGGCATTTTTAGTCTAAGTGATAGCCGCCCCAAAGGTGCACACACACTTTTACAGCGTTTATCAGATTCCATATGGCGGCTGCCATGTGGTAGATATACGTTGCTCAGTTGGGTAAAAATGGCAAATCATATTATTTGCCGATTGGGAGACGCTAGAAGTGAAAGGGTTGGAGGCAATAGTTATCCGTTTTTCTTGGCTATATACTTTTTTTTTTGTATTGTAGCTAGGCCTAGCTTTTTGGTTTTTGTTACCAAACCGAACTATACGTCATATTTCAACAGGGGAACCGTCACACAAAAACGGGCTATAGTGGCACGCAGAAGGCGATTATTGGATAGCAGACAAGGTTTCATTGAGTGATCTATCAGTGCCGTTTCATCGCCTTTGAAAGCAGCATTAAATAGTCAGAACTCTTAAGGCCCGTTCACACACTTGCGTTTAACTACGACTGATTGAGACAAGACCGCGGTTTCTAAGCCTCTCGTGGTTACTTAGGGAACCAGGCTGCGCTGCCACACAGACGCTCGTAAGCCGCCACAACAGGCTCAAAAACAGGCTTTTAGCCAAGCTTTCGGTCGAAGCAGTCGCAAGGATGTGAACCGGAGCTGTAGTTTGGCAGCCTGTGCTCCCACTATAAAAAGTAACAGAAAAGTATTGTTTTGCTCCTCCTTCTTCAACAGGAAATCAGGTGTCTATATTCGGAGGCATCGATACCGAACGCGGCGTGGCCACTGACGCCCACACCCAGCTGAACGTGTCGGACCAGACAATCCGTGCCGCCCGACCGCTGCCTTGTCCACTCGCTGGCGCTAGCGCCCTGGCCTTTTCGGGCTACCGCAGGTCGCCGTCCCTCAAGTCACTGCGTTCCGTAAGTCACCGCCTTTGTTTTATGATTTCTAGAATATGCGCGCTTCCCGAAATCAAGAATGCGGGCAGACACTGGGAGAGCTTTCGCATTCGAAAGCGTTCGACGAGTGCAGTGGACAGAAAGGCTGCCTTCAGACTCTGGCTGCCTTTGTCTCCAAAAAAAGCGATGTGCGCAGGATGGATGGATGCAAACGGCTCTACCCTTTATAATGGGCGGTAGCTTCCGCCGCCTATCGTAGAGCTTGACGTTTCACTTGCTCATTTTTATACTATTCTGAGCTTCGTCATTCGTGGAACTTTCCATTGTTCGCTGTGATTGACTGCCACCGGTCTCTCCCGTGTTCCGCAGAAAAATAAACGTAAAAACGTTTTCTTTTTTTATAGATTAGATTATAACGACACAGTGGAGCATTGTTCTTAGTGGCAGAGTGACCAGGGGGTTGTTCCTTGGTACGTGTGATGCCGTCATAGTATATACTTGCAGTCCATCCGTGTGATGCAAGCATTTTCGTTTCTGTGTGTCATTTTTTTGTAGGGCGGTAGCATTTCTGCTCTATCATCAGTGAAGGGGAGCAGTAGAAATGAATATAGATGATGATCAGAACGATGCTGAGAACGCGAACTGGAGACTGTTTATCTTGAAAGAAAAAGACAATCTACACTGCACCTGAGGAATACAAATACGCACACGGGTGGTCTTTTGCGTGCTCTTCAGCCCATTTTTTTTTTTTTAGAAGAAAATTGTTAGGGTTGCACGTAAGGACTCTTTTATGACCAACTTTCAGGAAGCTGAAAGCGACGACGACGAGCCCAAGCTCAAGCTGCGAACAGTCTACCGTCGGTACCGGCAGCGCAGGAAACTCCGGGATCAAGAAAGCGACCTCGATCCGAGAGTGAGTTTGAAAATTATCTGCTGGGCTTGTTGGTCATACATCTTGGTAAAAGTAGCGCAAAGAAAAGGGAGGAAGGCCGTAGAGACAGGGATAGAGCACTCTATCTTCTCTCTACGTTGTTCCTCCTTTGTCTTTGCGCTCCATTTACCAAGCCGAGAGTGAGTGACTAGACACTTTTTTAACTAGGTAAATTATGCGGGGTTCGTAGCGTGTCTCGTTGATAAAACTTCAATAATTCACCCTGATTCGGATATACTCCATTTCACCTTACGTCCGGACGCAGCGAAAGCTACGAGCTACCCTAGCCAATCCCGCTCCGTGGACGCTTTCCGCACGTCGCTGTGCCCCCTCTCCAACGTCACATGACACTCCCACAGCATTTGAGTGGCTCCGATGGCTCGTAGCAACCGCTGCACCTTGACGTAAGGTGAAACGGAGTATAGTCACATACTCTTCTTGGTTTTTGTTTTGTTTGTTAGTTTGCTTCTTGTGTATGGTGTTGTGGCGTTGTTCTGGTTGCCTTTTGGGGGGAAAGGGGGGACTTTTGCGTTTAATGTGTTTGTTTATATATAGCTACACAGCGTGCATGATCCTATTTGTTTAATAACAATAATATTTTTGTTGCAAACGAACAACACGAATGTGAAATGAGACCTGCTAAAGCCGCATTGGGCTTGACTGGCGGTGCCTTACTTGAACGCTGATCTTTTTTCTACTCTTTCTTTCATTAAACTCGCAGTTTCCGAAAGCTGGCGTTTTCGAATCGACTCGGATTTTAGACTCGACGTTCGACCACGCCAAGATTCGAAGGCAAGACATTTCCCGCGAAAAGGTATATCGACCCTTTTGCAGCCTCATGCTTCCAAATGGTGCCGTGTAACGTTTTGTAGCGTACACGGCGCTTGCTTGTACGTGAAATCATTTTAACGGCAAATAAGATAATACGGTAGGTCTGACTGACAGTTTAAGAAACGCGTGGTGTGGCTTATGACGTTCGTGCTTCTTGATACGTTCTTGGACGTTCTTATCTGCTATTGAGTATAAGAACGCAGACGAGAATGGAACCTGGGCGGCGACAGTGGGGAGGCGAGGGAGCGTGGCGCCCCATCCCGGCCAGATGGGTAGTCTTAACGACTAAGGAGTGGTAATAAGATGATTAGCATTCGCCACACCCTACGTTTCTTAGGTTGTCAGTGACCAACTTAACGTACACTAAAATAAATAAATATATATATATATATATATATATTATATATTATGTTTAAAGGGTTTATTTGGGACTCATTTTTTTAAATATTTCTATCCACTAAAAAATTATATTTGCCTCATATTTACGTTGTTTGACGCAATATAGGTGAATGTAGTCCGGCCTAGGAACGTATAGTTACCTGCGTTCCATTTTTCGGCTCTCATTGGTTGGAGAGAGGATTGCTGTGTGGATTGTTCGTTGTAACATTGTTTCTCAGTGCCGTAATAGTATTTTTGTAGACATTATATTTATGTTTGAGAAACAAATAGTCTAGATAGAGTCATCATTGTTTTCGAAAGTATCCCAAGGTTGCTTTTTCCGCATCGGTGTGAAACGATAACAAACATGACTCCTGGCGCCTGCGGGGTGCTCAACGAGCGCAGCTCTTCAAGCTCGTCTATCTTTATGAGTACGAGTCGTTTTGTGTTCACTGAGGTATATACCTCGAGGAAGACCTCCTCGACGGACGTAGTTTGCAGCAAACATCTGTCAGAAGTAATCGCCTTCGCTAGAGCCGTGCGGGTGCTTGTTTTCGTAGGGAGACTCGTCTAAGCATAGCGTCCCACGGCAATTATGTTGCTAGATCTGGCTTGATGTGTTTTGTGCTCGTGTTGATGCAGAATAAAAATGTTGGTTCTCGTAAAAGTGGCCCCGCTCCGTTGTCAATTGTGAAACCGTCGTGATTGCAACCATGGTTCCAATGCGAGCCGTTTGGCTGGAGGCAATCGGGTGATCGGCACTCATCAAGTTTATCCAGGTATGTTTCCGTCATTTCGCTTCGAGAGTCAGGTAGCTCAAGATTTGCGGTACACCTGACCTGCCAAAGCCAATATTGTCGCGTTTTAATGGTGCGTTATGTGCCCGCGGAAGCCATGCCAAAATAAAAAAAAAAAAAAAAAAAAAAAACAGAAAAGCGATTTGACTCCGCAAGTGTGACGTCACCGCTCCAAACAAACCGTTGGTAAGGGCGCTGTTATGGACGAATATATGGGACTGGATTTAGCTCCGAAAGAACGATCGGTAAAAATTAGAACGCAGAAATTAAGTGTTTAAAAATAATAGATAAAGGAAGCCTAGATTTCACAATTTCACGTTTGGCGAGAGTCGGCTGTTTCTGAAACATTTGCGACGGCAACTTCCGGTCCTTGAGATGCCTCGAAATGCCTGTTGCAGACAACGAACGCATGGCGACGAGCGCACACGAAATGACTGAAGCATAATGTCTGCAACAGTTTGAATCGTTTGCACAATAATACAATTTTAATTTTGTTTTTATTTGGAACACGGCAGGCCTAAAAACTAGTCAGGTCTATAAAAACGAATTGCATTTCCGTGCGATACGCGATACTGTCTGACGCAAATCATCACACGCATGGAGATCTGCTAAAAATACAGCGAGAAAAGAATCCGTTTAGAACATGATATCAAAGCAGCGTCGGGCCCTTTTTTATTTTGCATTTGACGTGCATGGTAATAAAGGAGCGATTATTTTAACTCGAACGTATGAGCGGTTCGAGACCCCAAACTTCGTTCTTCAGGCTCGCAATATGGGTGTGTGTTTCGTACCTGGTTCTGCTGATTTTTCAGTTTCAAGTGTTGTCTTTCCTCACATTAAACGAACTTTTAGGAAAATAAAAGACTTTAATACAGGAAAATAAAATTAAAGGTTACACGTGCGGCGAACGCACACTTGCATGCCGCCATCCTGCCCGCATCGCTGGCCGTCTGCCCAATGTTGCTCCCTTCGTTTTCGGATTTCGCTAACACTCGGCCACTCCTGGCAGCGAACTGTCCTCAGTTCATGTGGCGTAGTCCCCAAGGTACGAAGGTCTTTTGGGCACACGCACGCTGCGTCTCGGCACACTGTCTTCTTCGTCGGTGCTTGATTGGTCGGACGGTTCTTGGCATCTTCCACCCCATCTCTTCAGTTGACTGATGTGGGCGGTTGTTGAGTAGACCCTCTTCTTCCCATTCATTTCGGTCACTCTGTAGGTGTCCGCTGGGAGTACTTCCGTCACAGTCAGTGGGCCTCTGAACTTCTTCTGGGTTTTTGTTGGGACGCCGGTGTGCTCTGGAATGCAGCGCATAACGACTACGTCTCCAACGCTCAGCCCTTCCGCTGCGAAGTGATGCCTGTCGAAGTACTGCTTCGACTTTCCTTGCTGGGTCATTATGTCATTTTGAGCCGTCTCTTGAAGTTGCTCTGGACATACCCACTCATCATTCTCTGTGTTTAGCCATCTGAGGACACCGTCTTGCATCCTTGGTTGATATCCATGCAGAAGCCTGAAGGGGCTAGTGCCTGTTGAGGCATTATATGCTATGTTCAGGTAGCTCTCTACCTCCTTGATGTTCTGATCCCAATCCTTGTGAGTTGGGTCCTCGATTGTAGCCATAATGCACGGTACAAGGGTTCGGTTTACTCGCTCTACTTGGCCGTTCGCCCTTGGATGGTGTGACGAGTTCAGTGTGTGGGCTACACCATTTTCCCGGCAGAAGGCTTCAAAGCTGTGGGATGTGAAACAGGAACCACGGTCCGAAATGATGCGTTCAGGTAGTCCAAACTCTGTGACAAAACTCTGCACGCACCGTAGTACATTCCTTGCTGAAGTGTCTCGCACAGGGTAGAGGCGTACAAACTTAGTCAGATTGTCCACCACCACCAAGATCCACTGGTTTTTCTTGGAACTTCTCACAAACGGACCAACATGGTCCACGTGTACAACTTGAAATGGCCTCTTCCCAGGCGGTATAGAGTGCAGAAGTCCAGGCTTCTTCCCTCCTGGTACCTTCGTGAACAGACACTCGAAACACATACGGATGTGCTGATGCACATAGCGCTTCATCCGAGGCAACCAATAGAGTTCCTTGATTTTCGACACAGTTCGGTCTGTGCTGAAATGTCCCTGCAAGTCGTGAAACTTGACACACAGTGTTTTACGCATGCTCTTGGGCATCACAAAAAGGAGCCGTCCGTCTTCCTCCACGTAAAACAGCTTTCCATCCTTCAGTCGTAGATTCTTGACCTTGATACTTTCCTCTTTGGTCCTTTTCTTCATTGGCTTCTCCAGAATCTGTGCGAGGTTAGCCAAGTCTGCGTCAGATCGCTGGATGACCACAACTTGGTCTTCTAACCCTAAAGTGAGGCAAACCTCAACCCTGGTTTCGACGACCTCATCAAGGGTGTCCTCCGACGCCCCTATGGGTTCGCGACTCAGGTAGTCCACATGAGCCATTTTCTCACCTGCACGGTGCTTCACCTCAAAGTCATACTCCTGTAGCAAGTCAAACCACCTTGCTATCTGTGGTTTAAGAGTCTTGTGTGCATTGAGGTACACGATTGATTGACAATCTGTTACCAGCGTGAACGGAATGCCTAGAAGGAATGGACGCAGTCTTTCCATACTCCAGACTACTGCCATGAGCTCTAGTTTTCCTGCATGGTAGTTCTTCTCGGCATCAGTAGTGCGCTTACTGACACAAAACACCAGGTGCCAGCGTCCTGACTCGTCTTGCTGAAGAATCATTCCCGCAAGTCCATGCATACTTGCATCCGTGTGGAGTTCAGTTGGGGCTGAAGGGTCAAACAACTTCAGTATCGGGGGTTCTGTTAGTTCTTTTCGGAGCTGGTCGAAAGCCTCCTGTTGCTCGATTCGCCATGTAAAGTTTGTTTCTTTCTTGGTCAGACGAGTAAGAGGTTCTGACTTCAGTGCATAGTGCGGAATGAACCGTCTGAAAAATCCTGTCAGGCCCAGAAACCTCTTGACCCCGTGAACATCGGTCGGCGGGCTAGCTTCCAGTATGGCTTGTTGCTTCACTTCACCTGGCTTTAGGTAGCCCTTCACAATCTTGAAGCCTAAGTAATCAAGTTCATCACTTCCAAACACACACTTGGAGAGTTTCAGGGTTAGTCCGGCAGCCCGCAGAGCATCCAGGACTTGTTTGAGCTGAACCAGCAAGTCCTCCCAGTCCTTGGCTGGAATCAACAAGTCGTCCATGTAGCACAATGCTACACTGTTGCGCAGTCCCAAGGACTTTGTTCATCAGACGTTGAAATACAGCCGGGCCATTTCTCAGCCCAAACACCATACGTTCAAACTGTCCAGTCTCATCAGGCGTGATGAATGCAGTTTTGGCCTTCGATTCCTCACTCAGTGGAAGCTGGAGGTATCCGTTTGCACAGTCTAACACGCAGTACATTCGTGCACCGGACAGTCGTTGCAGCTGGTCGTCTATGTTTGGTAATGGGAAGTGTTCTGGCACAGTCTGGCTGCTAAGCCGTCGATAGTCTATGACAAGACGATTTTCTCCATTTTTCTTTTTCACGAGTAGCACAGGGCTAGCATATGGCGACGTTGTTTCGGTGACGATACCAGTCGCTTTCCACTCTTCGACAATTTTCTGGATCGCTTCCCTTTCCGCCGCATTAGTCTTGTACGGCTTGCAGCTGACTGGGGTACTTCCAGGTTTTTCTGTGATGGTCATTTCTAGATGGTTGCAACACCCCAACTCAGACAAATTCAGTGCGAAGCAGTCCCTATACTCATTCAGCATCTTCAGCAGTGCATCCACTTGCTGTTCATTGATGTCTTTTCCGACATTCAGCATGCCACGATCTATGGGCTCTTGCTGAGGCACAGTCCTCACTGGGGTTAACTCTTCCCTCTCCGAGAGCAATTCTGCGTGAGCAAACAAACTTCCCCTGAGCAGCTGTTGGTCTTCATCCTTGTCGTTCAACACAGGTATCTCAACCCTTCCGTGTTCAATGTGAAGCAGCATTCCCTTGTCGGTCCCACCAGGTACGATGAGACTTCCTTCACTCTTACCAGTCTCCACTGTCACCCAGCACACAGTTCTTTTGGGCAGCACCATGGTTTCCTTGACACGCAGAGGTTCCTTGGAAGGCTTTATCTGGGCAAGGTCGATGTCACAAAATGGAAGGTCATCACGGTAGCCAATCCTGAGCTCATCTCCCATACGCAGGTATGCAATGTGGTCTTGTTCCGTCCAGGTCCTACCGACCAGCATGTCCACAGGCAGGGCACTGTCGTTGACGACAATCACCTTGACCTTATGGCACACCACATCGTCGATTTCAATGTCGACCTCCGAAGTTCCAATGGACCGCACTGTAGATGTGTCGGTGTTCCCAAATCCATACAAGTCTTGGCCCTTGCACACAACTTGTAGGTTACACTTTTCAGCCGCTCGATGACGCAATATACAGTCTGAACTTCCAGGATCAATCATCACCGAGAGCTGGTGAGTTCCATTGATAAGAGCAGCCTTCAGGAATTTAGCTGGATCACTGTCACCTGAACTCTGATTCACCACAAAGTTGCCAACAGGGTTTGCTGCTGCGCAGTTTCTCGCCATGTGTCCATACTTTCCGCAACTGTAGCATTTTCGCTCAGCTTGATCTCGCTTCAAGGATTCCGGTGTTTTCTTGGGTGGTCCCCCAGCACTTGCCTGATCCGTCGGTTTGATCATGTTACTTCCCTGACTTATTGAGCCCCTGGCCACACTCTTCTGATCTGTGAGGCGTATTCCACTAGTCTGCTCGGTTGGACGTGCAGTAGTAGCCCATGACCTTGAGGTTGATGACCCGACGCGAGGTGTTGCACCTGGATCACCGCTGTGTGGCTTGCCCCTTGGAGACATCTGAATCCTTGATTCACTTATTCTCTCCAGCCTTCGCAAGTCTGCCAACAATTCATCCTCGTCCCTGTGCTCCTTTGCCGTCAAGGAGATGCACGCGTCTCTAGACCGCAGCCCAACCAGAACTTGCTCCTTGGTATCTTGCATACCAAGACCCAATTCTTTGCATAACAAGGTCTTTTCGAGGAAGTAAGCAGTGGTAGACTCTCCCCTCATCTGGATTCTCTCCTGCATCTGCTTCCATTTTTCGGCTGTGCTTGTTTCGCCCACAAAGGTTTTTCTAAAGGCCACCTTGAAGTCCTCCCACGTAGTAAGGTCTTCGACACGGGCCTGAAGCCAAAATCGAGCAGGTCCCTTCATGTGGAGCCTGGCGTTCTCTAGCCTGAAGCTGTCCGGCCAGCCGTGCAGAACTGCCATGGAGTCAATACTCTTGAGCCACGCCCCGGCCTCGTGTGACGACCCCTCGCCGTCGAAGTCGTGAACAGCCTTATTGAGGTCCGGCATAACATGAAACGTTTCCGGTTTCCTCTCGACGAGGTCGAGTAACCTTCGGTTTTGTTCCAGTAGCGCTTGCATTATCTCGTTTCCGTTGTCGTTAGCCATCTTGGGGTTGTCTAGACGTCTTCCTAGGCGTACACACAGTTGCCGCTTTTGTTTTTTTCGCCTTCGGTTATGCGTCCAGGCCTACAGACGTCACACAGAGCGTCCGCACGCACGGTCCCCACGAGGCAGCACGAAGACTCACGTTTCCGCCGTCGGCACCTCACGAAGACGGTACCCGTTGAGACAGCGTCCACATACACGCAGTCTGCAGGCGACACAAAGAGCCCACTTTCCACGGCCGCTACCTCACGACGACGGCACGGGCTCGGCACTGTCCGTAGCGTCAATTGAAAGGTCAGCGAGCATCACCGTCGGCGCAATCCGACGACATCGGCTTCCAGGATCGCCTCACCACGAAGGTTTCGGTGAATCCCACTTCTGAGATGTTGTCTTTCCTCACATTAAACGAACTTTTAGGAAAATAAAAGACTTTAATACAGGAAAATAAAATTAAAGGTTACACGTGCGGCGAACGCACACTTGCATGCCGCCATCCTGCCCGCATCGCTGGCCGTCTGCCCAATGTTGCTCCCTTCGTTTTCGGATTTCGCTAACACAAGTAGGAGCTCAGACGTGCATGATTGTGAAGGAACGCTTCCCCGTGTCTCTAGAAGATTAGAGTTTACTCTGGCCCCGATCGTAAAACATAAGAAGGCCAGAATTCCCTTCCTATAGTCAGTCTCGCCCTAGCTCACGGAAGATTCTACGTCGACTGTTCGATATGCCGTGTGTAGTAAAAAAGGAACCGAGCGCGGCTTTCTCGACTCACAGCCAGCTGTAACGCCGATGCATCGTCGCTCGCTGCTGCCGCCGTTGATGCACATCCTTTTATTGTTTCTAGTCACAAGTTCGCCGATTAAATTTTTATTTTCTGTTTTACGCTTCTCGGCCCGTTTCCATCTACGATAATATATATCTGCTAGGAACAGTTCGTTTGATCACATAGATGAAGACTGAAGCAACTGTGCTCTCAGAAATCCTTGAAACGTCTGCTGGCCTGCACTTCGACATTGATACACTTCACGTCGTCGTCGTATGGGGTTCGGCTTCACAGCGTTTTGACCTTCTCAAATATCGCGGGTGAGCTTCGTTCGCGCGCTCGCGCACCTCGAGCGTCCGTCAAAGCTGTGCACGGGCACTGTTCGCTTCCGAAATCCCGCAGGAAGTTGACCCCGAAAATAGTTGTGTCGATCGTCACCAACCTCCTTCAACGCGATCACGTATACTCCCCCAGAAAGAACCACTGAACCCGCGAAGTTGTGTCGTCTGCTAGCAAGGCAAAACCGGTTTCGAAACTTTATTACGGGCTTTTGTCACCGCTTTATGATTCTGAGACGATAGGAAAAGTCTCCATGATTAGATATTGAGAAGATACGATGCTTACAGAAAATTATTTACTTTTTTTTATGACACAGTTTCTAACCTCACGTCGAGCCTCTATGCATTTGTCCATAACAATGGCCTAGCAAACGGACGAAGGTGAAAACGGACGCCAACGCGCAGCTTTCGTGTCCCCTTCTCACGGGCTTTGCAGACGACGATAGAGGGTGGTGAAATAGCAGACGATGCGGGAGGCTGCCGCGCATCTGTTCGCACGACTGTCATGCAGATGCCAGACTTGATGCATCGGTATACAGTGACCGGATGTCTCGAAAGGGAGACACTGTATAGGCTTGCTAACGTGCTCACCTGAGCAGCCATGCCAATCCCGTGGTAATGGGCGGGGCTTAGAGCGTGCCGTGATCTCCACCTAAATTGCATCTAACGGCGTAAATATAGCGCGAAAAATGTGTTTGTTTTGTAGAAAAATTACAAAAAATTACGGATCCCTACTATGTCCCTTATTTTTTTATATTAGTGTATTTTTAAGAATCTCAGGGCTCGCTTCTTTTGTGCTATACTTGGTTCATGTTTGAGCAATTGTGTGCCTTTAAGCGCGAAACACATGTACGACGAAACCGTCCGATCCGACGTGCGGACTGCCGGAATGACCTTGGGGGGGAGAGGGTTTTCGTAGCCTCGGAGAGCGTTGAAAACCCTCGCCTCCGACCGTCGTATTGCGCGGTCGGACGTCGGATCGGACGGTTTCGTCGTACATGTGTTTCGCGCTTTAAAGACATAAAATAATTTCATTCATTTTTTTTTTCACTGAGGCCTCACAAACATTGTTCTCGTATTCAATTTCAATCAACAATTTGTATCGTCAAACAATAAGAAAACACTATTCTTGACATCTACAATCTGTATCGTACAATATCCCAGGATCCATTGCTTTCTTTTGTTGTGGTTTCCAGTCGCCGGACTTCGGAACGAAGGAGGAGCGGCTTTCCGTGGAGCTCCGAAATCACGGGCGGCAACTCAGAAAGGAGCTCGTCTCAAGCAGGGTGATCCATCTGTCTCGTACCCCCGACTTACGCCAAATGTCATAGCATCGTACGTCATTCTGTCTGAAGACAGCCGCAGCGGTTCGAGTAAATGTCAACGACAGAGAAAGAAGAATTGCGAACGGCAACGCAAAGTGCGCTGCGAGTGACAGCTGCTGCGTTCTGAAAAGGCACGCATGAAGCAGATTCGCCTTCAGTCCGTGTGTTGTACCGATGTTTGCATTGGGTTCTGAAAACGGAACCTGGGCGGCGACAGTGGGGAGGCGAGAGAGCGTGTCGCCATAGTGCGACCACGTGGGTTTATTTCCAACGGCAGCTGCCGTATGGGGGGGGGGGGGGGGGGGGCGGAGGGGAGGGGAAGGGGGGGAGGGGGGGGGCGTTGCTGGAGGGTACGTGGATGTAGCAGAAGCGATGAGATGGCGGAGAGCGCTCTCCCCGTGATCACGTGGGGTTTTTCGGAACAGCGGCGGCCTGTATGGGGGAAACCTCGCCGCAGTTGTCATGTATGTGTGAGGAACGACCGGGAGGGGGAGAGTAGTGCATCCGCTGTACAGTGGAAGGCGTTCACAGATAAACATTTTTTTGCCTGGAAGGAGCACTAATAGCTACCGTTGTAAAAACGCACGATCTCGACTGGCCGATGAGTTCAGTTGATATAGTGCGCGGTTTTCCAAGTAATTAACGAAGTGAAAAGAAGTAGAATTGTAATAAAGGCTGATTTCGGTTCATAAACTTTGTTCCATACGTATACTGTTATCATTCTCACGCGCTCTCGTGTGAATGAGACGATAGACTGTGCCACGCGCTCGCGCCAGTCGACAGCGCTGTATGTTGGCAGTATATACTATGCATGAATATGCTATATAGCTGTCTTTAATCTCCGTATTCGAAAGGCTAGAAGAAAATCGTGATTTGCACATGCGTTTTTGTTTTGAATCGACATCAATCATAATGATCATAAGTAATATTATTATTAGAATTATCAACACCATCGTCACTATAGTATAGATAATAAAAGTGTGTGCATGTTTAGACAGCCGAAAGTTATAGTCAGCCTCAATAACGTCTGGTACCTCAGCTACATGATAAATTTTGCGAGTGCAGTATGCCACTGCTAATTTGGGATCTTTAAAGTGCATCCCTCAGTATAGGGAGTATTCACTGGCGGCCATAGCTGTGTGCGCGACTGCTGAGCGCGTGCTGATGGCTAGCTTTCACGGTTCTTTTGCAACGTGCATTCCACACCACCAAAATGGCCGGTCTAGCAGCCTATTAATGTTGGCTCGTTCTTAGCATGGTAATACGGCGCCCAGTGAATACTCATCCACTGGAAGCCATATATGCAGGCGATGTCTTGAGAGCATGGTCAGAGAGAGCTCAGATAGGATGCTACTAAGACCTTCAATTCTGATGGTGCGAAATGCACGTTGCAAAAGAACTGCGGAATCTCGCAGTTCTTTTGCAACGTGCTCGGCAGCCGCGCACACAACAATTTCAGCCAGTGAATACTCCTTATTGTGATACGCGACCGCACGCCGGTACGATGCTATGCTTCGTCTCACCTTAGTATGGACTATTGTCAACCGCGCGTGCTTAAAACGCGAGCTAGTCGCTTTGAATGAAGCCGCGGCGGCTGCACGAGCGTTCGTGCAGGAAGTGCTCTAGTCAAGGCAGTCAATGCTGACCGCTCGCGCTAGCACAGCCTTCGCGGTTAGGCTTCCTTTCCTTTCAACACTTCTCTCTCTCTCTCTATGCTAGGGTGAGACGAAGGCCGTGTTCCAAAATTTACTCGATCTTACTCCAGGGTAAGGGTTTTGTTCCCTTGGCGTTCTGAAACCTACTCGCGTCCAACGTTTTTCAATCTGTGCTGTCACGTGACACGATCCGCCGGAGTAACTCGGATCCATTAGGGTAAGATATGGAACACAGCCGAAGTATAGTCCAGATCAAAACGGGCAGGGATGGGGATTAACCCAGGATCCATGGGTCCTGCAGCGCGAGCTTTCGCGTCACGCGCTCCGATACGCTTAACACACGCGGCATCTGATCCCCTCATCGCAATCTCAAGTTCAACGAGGCTGTTTAAAGTCTCCTATATCTGGCTGCAGTCAGATCGTTACTTTTGAAGTAAGCCGAGAAAGTCTTTTAAACTTGCTCGCAGGAGCTGAAGTGCGCGCAGGGTGTCGTCCGGAGCGACTCGTACCAGATCCTGGCCCCTGCTGTGGATCCCAACCTCGGTCTGGCCCTGGTTCTCCAAGACGAAGAGAAAACTTACAGGTGGGTACAGTTCACAAAGTACACTTCCGCCGCCCTTACACCACTCCGACTTTCAAAAATATACGTTAAAAAAAAAAAAAAAAAACTTGCGAGGACAAATTTTTAATTGCTTCTACTCTCCCGCAAAACACGCGTGTTCTCCGGAAGGCAGACGCGAAATCTTTTTTTTTTTTTATGTATTATTTAAATTACCCCTCCTCCCTGAAAAATTCCTTGCGTCACATCGAACCTCATGCGCATGCGCAGGACGGCGATCGTCATCCCACGGCCCACGGGTGGCTTTAATAAAACCCTACAGATGACAATGACTCTTGATTTATATATTTTGTTTGCGCGACGCCTCCTCAGCGCGAAATGCTCCGACACGCTGCTGGCCATCAAGTCCATCCGCCCGTGCAAGAACCTCTTCTCGGCATCCACTTCGAGCGTACTGTCCTTCGGAGGCATCGACCTGCACAGACCGTCGTGCCACGAGATCGGTAATGGTTCACGCTTCCCTCCGATTGAATAACAGATAAATTAGGGAGTTTTCGTAGATCGTCTTCGCCGTCCCGCAAGGCCCTCCGCAACCCGCTACGATAGCGGGAACTCCACAGTCAAGGCTATCGGCGCGCAGGCGCAGTAGCAACTTCTTCGTTGCGGAACGCTTAGCGGAAGGGTCAGCGCGGTCTACGAAAACTCCCTAATATTTCCTACTGCGCGTCCGCTAACAGACAGGTCCGTAATCCCTCGTAACGTAAGCTATCCCTCGTAAGCCTATATAATAGTCTTGTGCGAATAGTGGATTTTGAGTCCGAAGCGAATTCGAAGCGAATAGTGGTTTTGGCCGAATATTTTCGATTCGAATATCGAATAGTTTTTTAACGCCTTTCACTACCATTGCATAATGCTTAGACGAAAACCCAGCTAAACCTGTAAAGGTTATTCCACTTTTTCATTCATAAGCTAAGCTTAATCTATCTATATTTATGAACTGTGATCTCAGAAGGTCTGGTGTCTTGGGATGGCAAGTAAACGACGGATTTGACATAAAACGAATCCTATATAGATGGCCAACTATAGCAATTGAGTGACTTTACGAATCTTGATATATAAAATATTTTTTCTTTAATCTCAAGTTAAAAAAGAATGAGTCTCGAATGATGAACACAGGTTGTAAAATCATCTCTATCTAACATAGTATACTCTTCCATAAAAGTTTAATTTTGAAACTTTTACTACAATGTAGATATACACATTCACAAAGTTTCCCTTTATTTTCAAATACAGTCGGCACGGGTGCACCATCCCGCTTTGAATGTATGCTTTTTTGAGCACGCAATTACGATATTGTTTATTGCGGCGGGTTACCCCGTTAAGTGCGCTTCTTAGCGAGCACCGATGTAATGCGGAGAAGCAACACCCGCGGAGCTCACATCCGCGGGTTTTGCTTCTCCGCAACGCACCGGTGCTTGGTAAGAAGCGCACTCAACGGGGCCAACCCGCCGTAATCAACACTTCGAAAAACGCGAATAGTGCAGTTCTTTTCGAATAGAATATCGAATAGTGTATTATTCGGAACTACTATTCGAAATTTCGAATATTCGCACAACCCTACTATATAAGCCGGTCCTCATGGCTATGCCACTGATTGGAGGTATCTGAACGATCTTCTGGAACTCTCTAATCGTCTATCATTAAGACAGCAAATTCGTTTCCCGTTTCTCTTTTTTCCAATCTCAAGAGAAAAGATGTTTGTGAATGACTGTCTAGCAAGCTACCGCCATGAGTTTAGCACTATAAGAATCGTTCGCTGTCACCGAAGGACTGCATTTGTAATTATCGGTTGTGCGTTGTGCACTGTCTACGTGGTATGCTTTTACTCGCTACAACTTGTTTGAACTGTGTCGAACTCAAAGGCCCCATGCAACGCAGGTTGTTTGCTTTTAAGGCAAAAAAGATCGTTTGTCGCCACACGTGGCGATCGATTGTTTTGTTTGAAGCGCAGGACGCTTGGTTCTGTACTTCCATCCACTGAAGAACGGCTGGGAGCTGCTCGAGATGATGCCTGAACCCCGCAACTACCATACTGCCTCATTGGTCGGGGACGAGGTCTTTGTCATCGGTAAGTCATTGTGCCAAGTCGTGCCAAGCCATATGTTACCTGGGCACGCGCACCTCCGCCAACCTGCGAGCTGGGTAAATAATAGATGAGTCTGTTACATAAAAGGAAGGTCGACCATGACGGTGTCTTCCGGGTGACTGTTCAAACCCGCTTTTAACCTGCAGAATCTGTTATAGGGCCAGCGGCGTACCAACGTGTTTTTGAGTGTGTGGGGGGAAGGGGGGGGGGGGGGGGCAAACCAGACCTCAGACTTCCCTCCCCCACCCCCCAGGGCCGGGGGGGGGGGGGGGGGGAGGCGGCGGTGCTCTTGGTATCCCTTGGGCGACGCCAGACAGTGTTTGCCCTGCCCAGAGGCGGCTGCTTCAGGGGGGGGGGGGGGGGGGCAAAACACGTGCCTTGCCCCCTCACCCTGAAAACTGGGGGGAGGGGGGGGAAGCACCCCTCTTGCCCCCCCTCCCCCCGGTTGGTACGAGAAAAGCGACACGCGATACGTGGTACGACAAAAGCGACACGCGATACGAATACGCACGACCGACATACAGGTCGATGTTATACAAGTGGTTAGATATTGCTTACACGACCTTGATGTCCGGGTGGCGTATGCGGCGAGCAAGTCGTCTGCTTCTTGCCCAGGAGTTGCAGTGACGTCAGACCGCCGAGCTCTTATTGGATGATTGAAAAACAATAGTGGGTAGGCCTCAATGCTAGATGCCTTGAGGTCTACCCACTATTTTATTCAATCAGCCAATAAGAGCTCGGCGGTCTGACGTCACTGCAACTCCTGGGCAAGAAGCAGACGACTTGCTCGCCGCATTGACTTCTTCACGGAGTAAAGCCATTGAGACGGCATATTCTCCAAGACGGCATCGCCTCCGAGGCGGCATGTGTTTATACTTGTGAAACACGGCTGTTTATAAATTATTACCCAAGCCTCAGCAGCCCCTCCCCCCTTCTCCCTCTCTCTCTTTCTCTGTACCGCGTAAACCAGGAGAACGAGTGCAGTCACAAAAGAAGCCGCCGCTGCGTCGTGTGTTCTGTTGCCAGCGGGCGCGGATTTGTGACGTGCTTGAAAACAAAAGGTCAATCGAGGGCCCCGGATCTGCCCCGTGGTTTTATTTCGCAAGGAAACAACTATACATGCGTCCGTGTATCACGTGGCACCTCGACATCATGTCACATCATGACGCTGTGTGATCTCATAACATCATGTGCCCAGCAGCCGATTTCTCAAGACCTTTTTCAAGAATGACTTCAGTGCCCCTTTAATGATATCTGCTCAAATATTTCTTCAAATATTTCTTCACGCTCTAAGCTTTTTACTGACAGTTACGACATATACAGAACAATTGAATATGTCGAAGATTATTTTAAACTTCAACTAGACTTGGACCTTGTGTCAAATTGGTGCAGCAATTGACGAATAGAGCTGAATGTAAAAAAAAGTAAAATATTAAGATTTTTTTTAAAAAGCAAGATAAAGAAAGTATGGGCTATGCCATTGTCAATCAAAAACTCGATAAAACAGATGCAATTCGTTATCTCGGTGTTATCTCTTCAAACGACTCACTATAGAATAACGAATAAGGCACACAGCATGTTAGGATTTTTATGTCGTAATTTCCGTCATTGCCTAAAGGAACGAAAGGAAGCTTTATATTTTTTTTTTGTTCGTTCAGTTCTGGAATATGCATGCATAGTTTGGGACCTGCAAACTAAAAGTCTATCGGATAAATTAGAACAAGTACAAAGTCGCTGCGCTGTATAAAGGCGAGAGTCACGGCTGTCGACATGGGCATACTAACCGGGGGGGGGGGGGGGGGGCAAAGCATGTGGTTTGCCTTCCCCCCCCCCCCCCCCCCTCCCCCTGAAACGGCCACCGCTGTTCTGGGCAAATACTGGCCGGCGGCGCAAGGGCACCGCCCCCCGGCCCTGGGGGAGGGGGGGGGGGGGGGGGTCTGGTTTGCTCCCTTCCTCAAAAACAAGTTGGTACGCCACTGGCTATGAAAGAACAGTTACACCGGCAACTGCTCTTATGCAGACGGAAAAATTTAAGATTAGAAGTTTTTTATTGCCTATATAATGATAAAACTTGTATCAATACAGAAAATTACATCCGATATCCTTTCTACGTGTCAGAAAGAGTTAACTACCAATACAAAGTGGCAACTATTAACCCTTGTTGTAGATAATTTTTATTTTGAAAACAAGAATAGAACATGCTTAATGAAAATGTGTTTCCCTCTGTATTTTCACCTGATTTTTTTTATAACCACTCTTTGCAATAATGCCTCCAAGGCGATGCCGGCAATCTCAATAAATAAATAAATAAATAAATAATTTAATTAATTAAAAAATAAACGATTCACACACACACACATGTAGGGTGGAGGAGTTGGTTGCCTCGAATATCCATTAGATATTCTTCATTACGAACCCGAATCAATGTCGTCGATCGTGAGGTGGTGGGCGACTGTGAGCATGTCTCCCTGCGCAGGGGGCTGTGACCCGCACAAAACGCGCAGCGACGAGGCGGTCTCGTCGGACTCCGTGTTCTGTTATTCGGCCGCCAGGCGGTCGTGGAGCAAGCGGACGGAGCTGCCCGAGGCCCGGGCTTTCCACGGCGCGGCAGTCCTAGATGACAAGATCTACGTGGTCGGCGGCAGGGACCAGCGTGGAAGGTTACACACACACTCCTTGTACTCCAAAATTCATCTAATCGGTTCACTGTACACTCTAAGAAATGTGCGCCACAGCGCAGACAGTCTTTTTTTATGTCCAAAAATCAGCCTCATGATTGGCCGAGCTTCGTCTGTAGATTTGCAGCGATTGGCCCTCCGTAGTGCTTTGCGGAAAAGCTGAAGCCCCAGATTTCTTTGAGTGTAGCGACGTCCTTTGGCCTGTGTATGCCACCACGAGATTCTGTCTTTTTGTCCGTGGATACGTTACACCACCACGGAAGCCTGTCTTTTGGTTCCTGCCATACCATGCCTGTCTCTTGGCTTGTGCATACAATCACATGGAGCGCGGGCGTGGCCGTTATCGACCGTCCAACTAGGTATCTGGACACGGTCGTGGAGTACAGCCCCATGGCGGACGGCTGGTCGACGGTACTCCGGCTGCCGCGCTGCGCCATGGGCTCGAGCGTGGTGTCCATGGACAAGCGCCTCTGGGTCCTGGGCGGCGTGTCGTCCCCTGCAGACTCCAGCTTCCAGCCGGGGCCCGACGACCTGCTCGACGACGTCTTCGTTCTGGACGTCGCGCATCGCACGTGAGCCCCTTTTACCGCTTCTGGCGAACCTGGCGCGCATGCATCGTTTTTGTATCTTTGGACTGCGTTTCGTGGAATTTGCAATCTCGCAGTCCACGTGGGAAGAAGAGGGTGTCCGAAAGGCGTCAGAATTAATTGGGGGGCTAGTTGGTTGGTTAAAACCAGCGTCTAGATGTCTGAAAGGCGAACGGCGAAATATGTCCAAGGTTCGCTTCCATTTCTGACAGGCAACGTGAGATGGCGCAGGTGCATGACAGGAGCTCGAGGAACCGTCCATATTCGCGCTTTTCGAGGTCGCGAGGCGTGCGACCAACATGTAGAGCCTCAACCCGACAGTCCCCTGTCGGGAGATGCGCGAAGCCCGAGTGGAATTTAGACTCCCTTTGTGGCCTTGTTCCGACGCCTCTCTTCCACCGCGTCGCGGGCTCATGAGATTGCCTGGGTAACTAGAAAACGTCTAAGTCCACTTTTCTGCGCAACACGAATACAGTCAATCTTAACAACAATTAGATATACTATATAAAAGAAAGTGATCAAGCCTATAGGGACGACGAGAAAGTGAAACGCCATGATCAGATCTAATATTTTCTCTCATTCGCTTGCACTCCCAGGCCATATCTGTGACTGCGGAACTGCGATTCTGCGGAACTCTTGACCGATGTGCAGATACACTGCCGGGCCCCCGTTGCCTTTTCCCTGTGCCTTCGCCGCTGCCACCGTGACCAAGCGCACGCTGTGGTTCTGCGGCGGACTCAGTCCCAACGACAGGGGCAAGCTGAAGAGCGTCTCCAGCACCTACGTGCTAGAAGAAGGCAGCTGGAAGTTCTACGACGTGCTGGCACTGAACAAGCACGCTTTTCCTGCCATCAGCTTTGGTGAGGCGTCTGCCATCCCTTCTGCAAAGTGCGCCGCGCCCCCCGCTTTAACCGAACAGAATGTTGGGGATCGCCTGTATAGAACCGGCTGTAGCAGACGACGGAGGCGACATTAGAGGCTACGGATAAGACCGAGGCGTCATAAATAAGACCAAGGCCTCAGTGGTGAAGTTTTAGCATAATTTAGAGGAGGCTAAAGAAAGCCAACAACACGGATTGAACTCTGTGCTACTCTCTATCGCCAACTTCAGAGTCACGTGGTACACGCTGCGGGGGCGAGGAGCATAGAACGTTCCCATAAGGGATGTTTCTAATGCTAGCTTCTCCTGTACTCCATTTCACTTTACTGACGACCGCAGGGGGACGCTACGAGTCATCGGAGCCTAAGGTCCCTATGTAGACCATTCCATTTAGCGCTCTCAGGGCGGCGCCATTTTTTTTCGACCGCAGCACCCTCTCCACACATCCGGGAAGTTCAGCATGTTCGGCCGTTTGGCGGGGTAAAACGAGAGAGAGATGGGGGGGGGGGGGGGGGGGGGGGGGGGGCAGGCGCCCGATTCCGGTAGCAGTCGACAAACCGGGAGGTTGCCGTCCTCCATCTTTGGGCTGTACCGGCGGGCTGTACCGAACGTTGAACTCTCGCTCGTGGCTGCCGCTGTGAAGTGGTTCGCATTCTTAGAATATTTATGGCTACTCCAAAATCAGCCTACGGCGCTCTGTTGTTTTATTTCGATAAATGATAAACTAGCGTATCTTTGTTCCTTTACTTCAATACCAGTGGAATCAGCCGGCGGTACTACCCTCAACCACTCCATCTATTGCGTCAGGAGAGCACGTTTTTATTTATTATTCCATACTTCCACTCATTATCGCTAAAGGCCTACACCAGTACGAACTTTGTATAGTAAAAAAGCAGCAACCGGATTTACTTTTCGCCTGACAGACCGGCCGCTCTGACAGTTTTGCCATTTCTTTTTAGAGCACAGCGCTCGTTTCGGGCTTGAGCGGCGTCGCCTTCGGCGTCAGCGTAACCGCGCGCGTTGCATTATAGGACGTTTCCCGGGTAAATTTAGCAGGGAAATTTGTTCGTTAAATTTAGCTGGGAACTTTGCCCTAAAATTTCCTCGCGCTCCAAATATGCGACCGCGGGCACTCTCTGGCTCCGTCGTCGAACTGCCAGGCTTTGTAGTGCCGCAACTGGTGTGGGGTTAAAGGCGAGATTGTTTGCAAACAATGTGTTACAGTTCCTTGCATTTCTCTCAACCTTCAGCGGACAGCTTCGTGCTGTCCTTCGGAGGGGCGACCACGAGCTACGAAGGATCCGTCGACGACTGCGAGGTCTTCTTCGACGGTCCGGGTCACGGAGTTCTTCGGCTGCGGCCTCCGCCCTTCCCTCTGGCGGGTCACGCCTGCGTGGCGCTTCCACCGGTTCCCCTCGGACACAGCAAGACGGATCCTCCGGACGTCGTGGACATGTGGCAGAGGATGTGCGAGGGCGCCAAGGCTCTCTGAACATTCACAGCGGGTATCTGAGCCTGAGAAAAAATTGCGGTGCAGGCTGAGAGAGTTCGGTTTCTCAATTCAGTTTCTCGCTAAACGGTGTTTGCGTGTTCTTGAGGGTGTTGATGGGACGAGATGAAAACCGCGGTCTTGCCGCCATGCATGCCTCGTGTGTATGTGAAAGTGAGAGCTGAACGTGAGAGGATCCCCTTACAAAAAACCGTGATGTTTTTTCTGTTGAAAGGCTGTTGAAAAAAGTCATCAGAGGATATAAAATGCCAATAGCTTTTCATCTGACTTTCTCTAGCTTTTCTGATGACTTTCTTTTGAATATTCGCCCACTTTCTAATAGGAAGTCAACATACTTTCTGTTGCTTCCAATATGCTTTTTCTGTAGCTTTTCAACTAAAAAACTACAGAAGGTTAAAAAGAAAACAAAGTTTTGGAAAGTTTTGGAAAAGAGAGCAAAGTTTGGAAGCTTATTTCCACTCTCCTTTATATTGGCTGCAAGAAAATAACGTAAAAAACTATTTTTTTTTATTTTGTTAATAAATTGTGTTTTTTGTGGTATTTGAAGGCCCTACTATAAGGATCACACAACTACACATTAGAAACGAACACAAACACAAACGCAATGAAGCACTGAACACCCGAATCACTGTCCCATTGACTGCTCCAGAGGCTTATATAGCCCACTCATTGAAGGTAATCATTTGGCCGGTGACCACCTCAGCACTTATTAAGATTCCAGGGGCTCTAAACTCGTCAAACACAAAGTATGGGCCGAAGTTCAGGGAGCGCACCAATTGAACTATCACGGCGATGAGTTGGCACTTTTGTCGCCGGCGTCCAATCGGCGCTCTCTGCGAACTTCCTGCTTCAACTTTGTTAACCATGTTAAATAACCTGAGACTGGGGCAGAAGTGAACAAATAAGTCGAAGGGACAGAAAATGACTGGACGACGTCTCAAACTGCCTTTTCTGTTCCTTCGACTTATTAGTCCACTTCTGCCCAAGTCTCAGGTTATTCAACATGGTTAACATTCACCAGCTCGGCTGCACCCTTAACATATTATCTCCAACTTTGTGTTTCACGAGTTTAGGGATCCAAGCATTCGATCTTCTCCTCGGGAGTCTGTCAAAGGGTAAACAGTGTTTCGAAGTTTGTGGATGATATCTTTTACTAAACACCACTGGTACAACTAATAATAACTCGACGCAGTCGCTAAACCAACATTCAGAAAAATGGCTCCCAGAAGAAATCTTATCGCTTCTCTGCATAGCACCACTCAGGACGAAGCGAGTCCCCAAGGCAGTTTCTCCACTTTCAAATAGTTATTTTGCTTTTTTTTTTTTTTTTTTTCACTAGCTGACGATTTAATACGGTCATTAAAGTCACTATAGTGACTTACAAAGTCAGAACGGCGAGGCATGCCTTTCGAACGCCTGGCCCCCGGCCAGCACGCGCCCGATGCCTTCCGTCGTACTTTGAGTGCACGCACGCGCTCGAGGTGCAGGAACTCTGTACGCAATGTTCAATAAAAAGTCAACAGAAAGTCTGTAGCTTTTCTCTTGACACTGGCTGCAGAAAGTCAACTGAACATTTTCAACACGAAGTAAACAGAACGTCTGCAGTCATTCTGATAACATTGTCAACAGAAAGTCAGCAGGAAAAAAAAGATCAACATAAAGTTAATAGAAAGTCAACAGCTTTTCTTTTGACTCACGCTGAAGAAAATCGTGAGAAAAGTTTCAACACAAAGTCAACAAACTTTCTGTTGCCCATGTCAGCAGGAAGTCAAGGTCAAAAGAAAGTAATTAGTCAACGAAACGTCGACACATTTTCAATAAAAAGTCAAACATCACTTTTATGGGGGGAAGACGCAACATTTTAAACGCAGAAATGAGGAAGATAAAGTAGAACGGACACCACAACACAAATTCTCTCTTTTATTTTTTCTCGTTAATACGGACGAACAAAACGTGAGGGCGCAAGTTAGCTGGTGTGACTTCATAATTGTAGAATTACCCGAGACTGGTGTCGACAGGAGAACGGCAGGAAGATGGAAAGAAGTCTCAAATGAAATTTCGTTGCAACAGAATCCATTTATATATGGTCTGAACAAGAAAGGGGAAACCAGGGGAAAGGGAAAAACTCGCAAATGACACAGCAATATCGATACCCCGGTAAAAGTTTTCTGGTTCACAATATTTCTGGAGGAATAGAAATGTCCATATTAACGAGACGACAGATCAGCACATTGAAGAACGACGAATGAACACGTGGCTTATTGCGCCCGTTGCGTCGATCATCACACAACGTTGGTGGTCATACCTATCTAGTTCTTTCCGGGGAAAAAAAAAAAAAGAAAAAAACATTCGGTGGTGTGAAATGAGGCTGCAGATCAAGGTCATCAACAAGGCCACAACATGGGCCCAGCCCAGCGAATGACGAGGCCTCGAAAAGGTATCAACCCGAAAAAGCGGCTTGCACGGTGGAATTATATTGAGCACCTGAAACGCACACCCGCCGGCAATAGGAAGGTGAACACCTTACCTGGTTTCTTGCCCGTTTTACGGCTCTCTCAACGTCTCAAATGGTACGTGGCACGGGGTCTAAACTTTGCGTTCCAGCCCTCTTCTGGGGGGCTATGTTGCGCTTTTTGCACTCCCAGGAGACGAGGGAGAGGGAAGTGACGTCAACGACACAGCAAACGCAGATTGGGTGTTGATTTCGTTTTCTTCTGTCAACATCCAATCTGCATTTGCTGTGTCGTTGACGTCACTTCCCTCTTCCAAGTCTCCTGGGAGTGCAAAAAGCGCAACATAGCAGAGCTTGTTCCAAAATTTGCGGGAGCGTCATATAAACAAGAAGAGGTCTGTTCACCTTCATATCGCTCACGGGTGTACAACTTAACATTCTTATTAGCATTTTTTTTTTTTTTTGCACGCTATGTTAAATAAAGGCACGTATGCCACATGTGTCGCGCACAGAGGCATCGGTCGTAATAATTGCCCCGCTGTTTTGGCACGGACTTTTTGTATTCGCCATTTGCGAAAACGGGAGTAACCTTCTCCCACAGGTGCGGCAGCGCTCAATCTGCAGCCGCGTTAAAGTGCCATTGTTTAATTCTGCCGTCATAGAAAAAAAAAAAACACACACACAAAAAGACCCGAAAAAGGTGAGAGAACCTGTCTCTGTGATAGCCGGAAAAGGTGGTATGGCGACATTATCATGGACAAAACGAAATTTCGCGCTGACCTGTGGTCCGTGGAAGAGCGCGCACCTTGAGCGCCATTCCGAGACAGACCGGAGCTTGTCTCTTCTCTCTTCTTTGTTCCTTTCTATTTGTGCGCAATTTTAACCATGTTCAATTATTATTAACTCGCCCAACTAACCACTTTACTACAGACCGGAGCCTCGCATAGCAAGAAAGAAATTGGGTTGTGTGTGTGTTTATAGACCTTTTCATTTTAGTAGTTGCCTCACCGGCGGACAGAGGGCGCTGACGCACTCGGCGCCATTTTATAATGGCGCGATTTAATAAAGTCATTGGGTTTTAGAGACAGCGAAGGGAGAGTGGATTTCAAGACTGTAGAGATTACCAAGCAAAGATTAAGTGAATGGTGGCAGAAATCGAGAGAAAACTAGGTATTTTCTTATTCACTGATGGCAAGGGGGTTTCATAGCCTCACTTTCTTTGCACTGCGGAGTGAATATAGATTTCACATTTAAATAATCTAAGCTTAAATGGTAAAACAAAATGGCTAGGTGGGGTAAGCTACCGCCCGATCCAAAGGGCTCAGCCGTATTCATCCATCCATCCATCCATCCATTAGGTTGCTTCAATTTGGTTGGTTTCGGTTTCAAAGTGAACGCCGCTATGTTGCTGTTTTACGTTGTTTTTGCTTAATTTTGTGATACAATTATTTCCTTGGTAGCACACAACCAATGAAGCAGTAGTATTGAGCCACTTTGATGTCTACGAGGTGTATTTTAGCTTAAATTGTGGGCTTTTTTTTTTACCAACTCTTTTGATGTATCTGATTATGGTCGGTTGCGAAACGCCTGACTAATGTACAGGGAAGATTACCATCCTGTATGGCCGTACCCGATGACACCAGCTTCCAGAAAAACAAACTAATGAAGAGAGTAACATGTGAATGTAAAGGGGGCAAGCATATCGACAGCTTGATTAGCAATGTTCTGAATCGGCCAGAACAGATGAACTCGCGAGTTTACAACTCTGTTTGGTTTTCGTGGGCACCCTACCTTTTAGTGAGCTTCGCAGAATAAAAACTTTTCGTGTAATGACGCACATAATTGATATAAACAAATAATATCGTCTCGGCCTCTTTTTTTTAATTTAGTACTCGAGCATGTTTTGACAGGCTGAGTAAGAAATTTCTTAAATTGTCAATCTTGCTAAAGTACTCATAAGCAGCATTTCGCGATATTTGCCCTAGGAAATAATTTAATTTTTTTTATAAAGATTTGCTTACTCAGGATAGGATAGAAGTGACAGGCCCGTCAAATTAAATCTGGCATTTGTCTTTCGTAAAATTGGTCAAATAAAATTGAAGGGCGCAGGAGGAGAAATATCTCGGAAAGTTTGGCTGAGTTGCAGCGCTAGGCACCACTTCACAGACCTGTGTGAACAAAGATTTATTTCTTAGAAAAAATTCGCTTTACAAATTTCGGCGTAGCCAGCCACAAAAAGTAAGGCTCTATTCGCCATCAACAATCCTGGACTCATATAGCTGTTATGCCGACGGCTCTTCTTTCTTTCTTTTTCTTTTTTTTTTTTTTTTTGGGGGGGGGGGGGGGGCGTTAATTATTGCGGATTTTAGATACTGGCAAGAGATGAAACAACGTAAGCAAAAAAAAAGCGTCGTCAATATTGCGCATGCGCCGAACCCAAACCGCGTTTTGGATTTGCAAATAGAAACGACGTTATTTCTTTGCGCACGCTATTCTAAAACTCGCTACGCGGGAGGTCCCAACCTTTGTGGTAAGTAAATTAAGTGGAGGGCACTGGTTATTTAAATGTAATCAATAAATCATTTAAATGACTCTCGAAATGGGAGCGAACATGGTACACAATTTCTTAAACTTCATAAGTAAACCGACCAACCGAATGTCTACGTTGCAAAAAAAAAAAAAAAAAAAAGAGAGATTGAGAACCTCATACACATGTAGGTGTGATATTGCGAACAAACAAATCGCTTGATGTTGGCGTACCTTTACTTTTAGCCTCAGAAAAAATACAAGTTACACGTTCGTTGTCTATCTCCGCGA